AATGAGCAGTAGGAATGCCTCCAACATGGAGCAAACATTTCCGGTTCCCCTGCTTCCGGCTCTGAAAGTTGACTCTGCCTCACTTTGGCACTGCAGGACCCTGGTAGCTGCAGGATGCTGCATTTACATACTGCAATGCTACTGGCTGAAGCCAGATGGCAAGGGATGCTGGGTAACTAACTGCTGGCCTCTTCCCAAGGAATCGGAAGTATCATGAGCCTGTAATTCAGGAGGCATCAGTTTGCATACCGAGCAGCTTTTCCAGATGTGGCCCGGGCAGGTTGAAGGGAAGGTGGCCCCTGACAGCTGTGGGATCTCTGCCTGGTTTTTCACCCCAAATATCCTATTTTTTTAAAAAAAATTCTGCTTTCTGCTTGCATTCCACACAGATGAGTCTTGTTCATTCCTAAGCATAGCTGATTCTGCCAGAATGGCGGGGGGGGGGGGGGGAAGCCCTGCTAATTCATTTTCCCTGTGCTGCAGAAACCGAATCAGAACTCCAGCAGCTCTCTGAGGCTTGATGCAGACCAAGAGAAGCTGAGTTGGCCAAACCAAAACCCTGAGGTTGAGACCAATGGGCCAGGTAGCCCCACAGGCCATAATATCCCTGAGAATGCCCACCCAGAGCCACTGCCTGCCTGCTTGGCAGAAAGCAGAGGACAGGTCCTGGCCTTCCCAGAACACCTGCAACCTCTCCTAGCACCTGGGCTATGGTGGGGAAGATTGTTAGCCTTGATCACCCACAGCCTGCCACCAGAAAGCTCAGCAAGCTGTGCCCACAGAAGTTCAAACCTACTCATCCTTCCTCGCTCATCCATTCCCTTGCAAACCACATAGGCTCTTACCTCCTCCTGGTGCTGCTGATAGGCCTGTGGCTTCCGGGTGTGAGCCCCACCCCATGGCAGATTTCTTCCTGAGATCTGTGAGGTAATAAACTGTCCTTCACTAACAGCTGCCTCTGATCTGTTGATCTTGCCATACCTAAATAATCACAGCTTTATAGTGAGAACCATTATTTATTACTCATTACAAAACTCTATTATTTATAATGATCTATAATGAATAGTAAAAGATATAATTGTAACAAATAATAATGCCGAAACAATGACTTCAGGCTTCGGCTCCACCTTCTTCTGGAACCGGCCTCCACCAGGTTGCCAAATCTCCTGGTTGCCAGATCTAATGGATGCACTCATTTCACATCACCAACCACGTCCTCCTTAGGACACACCCATGTCTGCCATGTCACTTTCCAGGTCCCATCCCTAGGGGCGATCCCCAGACCCTTCCCTTGCAGATGCTCCTAGAGATGCTGTTCAGGGTCCAGTCCTGTTTGCTTCTGGACCTTCACATGCACGCCAGGTGATCATTACCACCGAATCAGCAACAGCCACAGGACACCTGCCCTCTCTTCCACACACATCCCACACTAAATGCACAATCCTCTCCCTAAAGCCCAGTCCCGTCTTTCCCTCCCTCAGAGAAGCACACCAGAAACCTGAGCACCCTCGTGGCATGCAGCTCAGGTGCACACTCTGCAGCTCACCCCTCGCCTGGTCGCTGGCAACCGCTCCCATCACCCTTCCAACCCCACCCCGAGGCCCAGGCTCCCACTAATCCATCCTGAATGCTCCACCATCGTGCTCCCTGTTATAGGAGAAACAGCCTTTCTGGCTGCACACTACTTTCTGGAACGTCTGAAATCTGAACCTTTTAAATCGCATCTGTTTTATGATCTGGCGTTTCTTCCTTCCCTGGCTGCACCTCTGGCCCTACCCTGTCCCTCTGCGCATTCTCCAGCCGCACTGGAGGGTGTGCAGCACAGTTCCCAAGTATACTTCATACTATTACCCTTGCTTCTGAGATAGATCTTGCTTATAGATGATAGAAAGACTGGTATTGGATAGGCAGGTGGACAGGTAGATAACAGATAAATGGATCTGTAAACTTCATAAACTAGTCACATTTCTAAAAGAACTCTGAGGACCAACAGAAAGTAGCTGTTTTTCCTTTGCCAAGTAAAGACATCCCCCCCCACACACACACACACAATCAACCATCATTAACTTCAGAAAAGTGAAAAGAAAGGTATAACCTGAGAATGGAAGTCTAGGAAGGCTAGAGGTGTGGTCTCAATTAACTGAAAATTAGGGCTCCGTATTATGTGTTGTCTTGACGTCTGATAAAATCAGAAAGGCCTCAAATGTCTTGACATCTGATCAAATCAAACCTCTCCTCCCTGACCCGCTGATAAGGTCCCCAAACAACCTTCTTGATCCTGAGGACTCCGTTCCTGCTAATCCCCCAAGGCGTGGGTTTCTGTTCTCTGGCATTGTGCAGAATTAGTCAAACTGCAAGTCATAACCTCCTACAGAAAACAGCATCCCACCTTCTGATGCTACGAGGCCTGCCTCCCACAGGTCCCGGCTGTTCACACTGCTTCCAGTGTGAGTCCTGTGTGTGTAATAACTCACTGTATGCAGTGGCCCCCACCTGGGCCACATTTGTGACCAGTAAGCTGTCACTGATCCCATCTGTCTGTGGTTACTTTCTGTTCTGTCATCCCCATCATCTCCCTGGAGATCCCAAGGAAGTGGCTACCTGGCACCCCCAACCACCTGGTGAGAGGAGGGAGGGCCTGAGGAGCCCTGGAGAGCCCGGTGCCCTGAGTCAGGAGACCTGAGCATCACAGCTGTGACAGGAGGAGTAGCTGTAACTCTGCCAGCTGTGTGACTGTCGGATGGGATCATGAATGGGAAGCGATGGCCGGTCCCCTCGGCTGTCCTGAATACACACGCATGTTCAGAGAAGTTGATATCCGCATGTCTCTAGCTGGAGCAGCAGGCAATGTGGGAGAAGGAACTTGGGGGCTAACTAGGCAGCCTGTCTGTTGGGAAATCTTGCTTCAACTGCGTCCTTCCTGCTTTGGGTGCTCACCCCTGTCCATCAGTAAATGGGAGTTGATAAATCTCCTCCTGTGTGCCACTCTGTGTCCCTTTCCAAATCCTCGACTGTCTCATCTGGGCCCTGAATTCCAACCACTGCACACCTTGCTCTAGCAGACACACCACCGCACATTCTGTTGGGCCACGTTTCCCCTCCCCTTCCTGAAGGCAAAGTGCCTGGGGACCCCGAAAGTAGGCCAGGTCCTCCTAACCTTACCAAAGTAGCACAGCTAGGCCCTCCACTCAGAGACAGGGCATCAGGGAGGGAAACGAAGCATCCAGGGCCTCAGCTAGCCAGAGCCCCAACATCTGCTGCAGGTAAGGGGCTTCTGGGTATCTCCAAAAGAGAGAAAGAAAGGAAGGGGAAAAAATGGAAGGGAAGAAAAGAAAGAGAATATAAGAGAGGAAGCTGGAAGGACATGGCTCAAGTAGTAGAGCGCCAGCCATGAGTAAACCAGCTGAGCAAGCTGGAGGCCCTAAATTCAAACCTAAATGCTAGTAGAAAAAAACCTATGCCAATGAAAAGCCAGGTAGGCTGGCCTATGGTGGGGGGTGGGCTTCAGAGCCGTTAGCGCTGCTCAGCCCCCAGGACCTGACAGCTCCCAGGCTCCATAACCGCAAGTGTGAGGTGACCAGGGAGGCAGCTGCGTGTTCTTAAGATGCATGAGGAGCTTCCGTGATTTACCAGAACTATGGGAAGGGCTCCTTTGGGTTGGACTCTGCACAAGACCCATTCCAGTTAGAATGTCCTATCACTTTAAGTGCTGGGAGACCCCCTCCCTCCCCCAGCCCTCCAAGGTAACAGACAAGTGAACCTCCACTGGCCAGCCCAGAATGGGTTCCAGGGGAGCCATTACAGTACCAGAAACTGCAGCCACTGTGCCAGGACCGACTTTGATGAAGAACAGGAGACTGGACAGGCAATGGCTGGGAGGCAGGGGCAGCCCACAGGAAGCCCCCATCAGAACGCCATGAGGCAGGAAGATCAAATCCAATACACTTTCTGTTTAAACAAAAATCACTGCTCCTGCCGGTGTGAAGGATAAGCCATCTAGAACTAGCTGGTTAAAAAGAAAAACAAAAGACCCCTGGTGACATTAAGTTGGTGGGGTAGATAGGATACCCCAGGAGACCAGAAGCAGCTTGGCAGATGATCGGCCCCAGGCCTTCCCCATGGCTCCCCTCTGCACTGGGCTCCGGGGAGGAGGCAGAGGCTCAGCCCTGGGGGCCTCTGGCTCTTTCCGGGTGAAGTTGGAAGGGCTGGGGTGGGGGAGAGCCAGAGCCAGTGGTCCCGGGGTGACACAGCCCTGCGCTTGGCCTGACCAATGCAATTGGTTGAAATCTGCAGGGCTCCTTCCTTGGTCTGGAGACCGGTCAGTCCTCTGGAAAAGTGAGAAGCTTCTAGCTGCTGGGAAGTGGGAAGGTACCGGCCTAGGAGCCGAGGAAAGCGCCTGCGTGTTCTTCTGAAGGGGTGGAGTGGGGTTGGGGGCCAGGGAAGGCCCTGGTGGGGGTGCAAGCCTGCCTTGCTTTCCTTCCGGAAAGGCTGTTCCAACGTGGAAAGCACCCAGCGGCTTCCTTTGGAGAAAGTCGGGGATGCTCTGATGTCAACACCCCTCATGGAGGGGTGGATCGGGAAGAGAACCTTGGCTCCCCGCTGGCATTCCTTGTTTGTGGGTTCCCACCCTGAAGACGGTGGGAAGAAGGGGGTGCAGCTTTAGGACGACAGCAATCACACGGGGCTGAAGAGGCAGCTGATGGGGGGCCCACCCCGAGGGCTGCCCCAACCCTCCCTCCCGCGCCCACCCGCCACCAGGCTGAGGTCCCGGTTGCTTGGCAGCCCGCCGCTTTCCCACACCCAGATGCAACCTCAGCGTCCTCCCCTTCCCCCCTCCTCCTCCTCCTCCCTGCCTCCCCCTCCTCCTCCCCGCTCCCCCGTGTCTTCCCCGCGCCCCCCCTCCTCCCCTCTCCATCCTTCCTCCTCCGCCTCTGATTGGCTGAGGCCCGGGCCCTCCTCGCTCCCCCCCCTCGCCCCCACCCCGGGTGAAAACTGCGGGCTCCGTGCGGGGCGCAGCTACTGGAGGCGGCGGGTGGAGCGGAGGCTGCAGCGGCGGAGGACCGGGCCCGAGCCCAGGTGAGAGGTGGGGCCGGAGGGGACCCGGCCCTGGGCGCCCCGAGTCGGAGGCGCACGGAGCGGGGCGCGGCGGGAGCTGCCTCACCTGGGCCGGGTGCTCCGCGGGGCCCGTCCGCGCCCGAGGACGCGGGGCCGAGGCTCGGGATGCGGAGGACAACCGGAGGAAGGACACCAGGACAGCCCGTGACGG